AATTTAAATAAAAATAAAAATATAATATAATATTTATACTCAAAATTTATTTAAAAATTATGAATTTAAAATAAAAATTTATATAAAATTAATTATATATACAATAATAAATAAAGTTTAATATGTGTTGACAATTCTCATTTTTATTTTGTTATTTACAGTTTTGTCCCTACGAAAAACTCTGAATCTTCCCGTTCCGTTTTATTCTAGTACCAAATGCAATTGCCCGGCATATTCCTTTCTCTCTCAATAACTAACCGCCCGCCCGCCCAAACCCTATTTCCCTATTTCGGTTTTGGTAATATTGAATCTGCTGATCTCGCCTCTTTTCCTGATGCAATTGTAGGTGCGTTTTCCTTTTTCTGTTTGGGTATTGAGAAAATTGGGGTGGGCAAGGAAAATAAAGTGCCAAAAAGGCGCTTTTTCAAAGGTATATTTCAAAAAAAAAATAAAAATTCATTTCGTTTTTTCGTGTTGCGTTCGTTGCTGTACAAAGAATATGACTTTACGCTTTAGCTCTGTATTTTCGTGCAAGGCATTTGTTTTCTATTCCCTCCCACCCCCCTTTTTTGTTTGAATGAAATATGGGATTTTGTTGAGAAAGATGAAGGCATGGGGGGTTAGCTTCTGTTGTTGTTGTAGTTGATTTTTTTTTTTAATTTTATTTTGAAATTAGCTTAAGCTCTATTCAATGTCTTCAAAATAGGCCTGTATCATGTATGATTATTTAGATTTTAGCTTGAATTGGATTTGTCATCCAATTTTCTGGTAAAGTTAAGTTCTTTTTAATGGAAGGACAACTTTTTGTTGGTAGCGTATTGCCTTTATTGTTTTTATGTGGAATAGAAATGAATTCTGATTGGACCTAAAATTTTATTGTAGGTGATTTGCTGATTGGCTTGTGATTTTCTTCGTCGAACCTGCCCCATTCAGAACGAGGTTCCTGAATTGGGCATTAGCTCAAGAAGAAAAGGAAAATGTGGAATAGATGGGTTTTTTTCACAGATTTAGATGGAGGGTCTGACGACATTTTTCCTATTCATTTGGTTCCCCAGTTCAATTCGTTTCTAGAAAATTCTTTGCACCATTCTAGATACCTTTATGCATCTGGCAGGGTGGCTCTTAGACGCATGTCGAAATTTGCAGCTGCATTTTTGTTTTGGTTCTCCAGTACAGCCACTTCAAATTTGGTTAGGGAAATATCAGATGCCCAACGTTATTCAACATCTGGAAACTGTCAAGCTGCGGTGCAAGTTAAGAATGTGTCTTCGAGTAGGCATAATCTTTGGGGATTTCTCTTTGATTCTGGATTAAAAGGAGAACCTGCCACCCCATCCCCACTGATTTTTGGTGAGATTTCAAATTTTGCAATGAAACAACTATCTAAGAGTGCTGAAGGGCTCCAATCCTTTTCAATTCTCTCATTAGCTGCTGCTTTAATACCACCATTTGACAAATTGTAAGTTGGTTAATCTTACATCATTTCCCTTTTTTTCTCTTGCAATTATCTTGTGGGCTATTTTCACATTCATATTCTGATTCCAACAGATCTTCAAAGGTACTATCTCTTCCACTGGAGAATGCACAAATACAGATACAGGAACGCATGGATCAAAGACCTTGTGAGGTTGGGCATAATGGATGTGGTGGTTTATCTTTTCAAGACTTGAATTGGCCAAGTCATGCTGTTGAACCCAGGACAGGAATTGAGTTTCCAGTGACATTGGATAATCTTTTAGATGAGCGAACTAATGGCAGCTTAGCTGCTGAGGTAAGTCATTGTGGATTGCTCAATGTTCTTACTGTCTCAACAATGTGCAATGTGTCTTAATCTCTTATCTGGGATCTTTTTTACTAACATGTACAGTTTTTGGTCTTTTCAGGTTCTTGTTGGAACTGGATCCAGAACTATGAAAATTATTAAAATTAAATCTCTGAAGGTCTATGCATTTGGTTTTTGTAAGTATTTGAGGATTTTACAGATTGTTCTACCTTTTTCATTAATAGTGTTGTTTCTTCCTAGTGCATTCAGTTACTCTTGATTTTTTCTGATAGATGTTCATCCCTACTCCATATGTGAGAAATTGGGTCACAAATATGCTTCTATTCCAGTGAGTGAACTGGACAAACACCATGATTTTTATCAAGATCTTCTCAGGTATGTGTGCAATAGCCTTTTGTGAAACCATATTTTATTTTAAAAATTTATTATCATCAAGTATTTTGTTCCACAAAATAAATGAGAGCTGTTTGCTTGAAGTTAGGAGTGTGGAAAATATGATAGGCTTACTTTTAATGGCTTTGCTTCTATTTGGTTAATCTGATTTATTTTCTGCCCAATAATTTTATAAATCCCTTTGATGTGCATGTCACAGGGAGGATATTGGTATGACTGTAAGGCTTGTGGTTAATTGCAATGGAATGAAAATCAATACTGTCAAAGAGTAAGTTTTCTTCATTTGCTTTATATATTCTTGAAACTCTTTGTTAGTTTGAATTTCTCTGATACAAAGTACATTCAAAAGATCTTGACGTTTGTCATTAAAATGTCCCTGGCAACAATTCTTGCATTACTGTTATTAAGTTCCAGATATGTTTCAGCAATATTATCTCAAGAGATAGTTGGGATCTTTCAACTTCTTGTGTTGTGTTGAATATGCTTAGCTGAACTTATATAGGTGTCACTTAAGTTTGTGTTGGATGCTGGATGTAAACATGGAACTGATCTTTATCTTTGACAAACTTAAATTTCCCTTGGTTGACTGACTCTCTTTCTGTTGACATCCCTAAATATCTGTACATCTTTTATGGTCTAAATTATAGTAATTAAGTGCATAATGATAAGAATTTTAGGGAATCTCAATATCTCATTCAGTGGCTTTCATTCGTTATATTGCAGTGCATTTGAAAAATCTCTGCGTGCTCGTTTACTAAAGGTAAACAGTTGAAGGTTTGATTTTCCTTTTCCCTTTATACTGCTTCTTTGTATATGCTGACTCACAGAATTTTTCTCGACTTCTATTAGACAAATCCAAATACTGACTTTAACTGCCTAAGATCATTTGGGTCTCACTTCACACAAGATATTGCGTTGCCTGCGGTAATGCCCTCTACCCGTGCATCTTTTTCCTTAAGATATGAAGGTTCAAGTGGGATACCTCAACTTTAATTTCACATTGCAGGGCACAGTAATTAATTTTCGGCGAACAGTTGATGGACAACTAATTACCGAAAGTGAGTAGTTACTGATATAGCATACTTACACACCTTTGATGCCATATTGTAAAATAATTCAACTGACCTTGAAGATATATTTTTGTAGTTGGAGGCAATCAGATTGGAGTTGTCCACAGCAAGGAATTATGCAGTAAGTAAATAAATTCCAATTTCACTGGGGACAATAGATGCTATTGTAACTACCAAATGTTATCAATCTAACATGAGTTTTACTTCAGCGGCTTTCTTTGACATGTACATTGGAGATCTGCCAGTGTCAGAGCAAACAAAAGAAGAGATTGGCAGAAATGTTGCAAGTATCATTAGGAGATGTTAAGCTGGTTTGTCTTCCTTCTCCATTGTTGAAAATTATTATTCAAGCAACTCGATCTGCCCACAGGAGAACTGGAAATTATGATTCAAAATACAACCATATTTTTGGCTTTTATCATACCATAACAAATTGGTTAATGACCACAACAGCAAAGAGAATATGCTCTGAAGACAGGTCTTGGCTGCTGGCCATGCGATTACTGATTCTTTGTAGTATTTGGGGATAAGCAGCAGTGTAGCTTTCCCTATATATACAATGTCATTGCTATTATTTTTAATATTCACAGAAAAATATTAGTTGTCTTCACTTTGCAAAAGAAAAAATGACTTTATTTCTTTTGATTCTAACTAGTAGTAGCATGAAAAAAGTGCTGTACAACTAAAATTATTGGATGAAGAAAGGTTTCTAATATTAAAAGTTGATTCCTCATTCCTCATTCAACTATTGTACTAAACTGTAAATCAAGAAAATCATTAAGAAACTCATAGTAAAAGATCTGACAAGAAGAATCATGTTCAAAAACAATATTTGAGAAATATTGTTCACCATACATGCGCCGGTAGAGATCCGTAGCGTGGGAGTCGGCAATCCATTAACAGGGATTAAAACTTAATCCTCGATCTTTCCCGCGCCATCATAGCCAAACTCAACCGTTTGTTATGATTATTCATTATTTTGTTAAATTTATTAAAAAATTATTTAGTTTAATTAATATTTTAT